GGGGTGGTCACGGTCACCCCCGTGGCTGCACCGTGGCTTTGTCCCCACCAAGGCAGAGGCCGCACAAGGACAGGGCACGAGTGGGGGCGTGGATTGGGCGGTGCCTTCTCCGGGGCTGATTCTGAGGCCGGGTTTGGGCCCAGCCTCAGGGCCAGGGCACAGCAGCTTCCCCCGAGCTCGGGTTCTGCTCCATCCAAGGGAAAACACCTTCTCAGCCTGGCCCCTCCGTGCCCTGCAGACTCCCAGACTCCACTGTCCCCTTCCAGGAGCCCCAGGCTGTCCATGTGTCTGTCACATGGGGCCGTCCGTGTGTCTGTCCGGGTGTGACGCAGCAGCATCTCCCTCTCTTGGCTCTGCAGAGTCACCTCAGGGCGTCCCCGAGGGCTTCGAGCCACGGGATCCACAGCCCCCCACATCCTCTGGAGCTCAGCGAGCTCCGGTGCCCAGCGGGTTCCTGGACCCCCCTTCGAGGGCACAGCATCCCCTGGGACCTCCCAAACTTCACCCCATCCCAGCCCCCTACACTCCCACAAACTCACCCACGCAAACCCTGCAAATCCCCCTAAACCCAGACCCCCAGTCCCCCCTCAGTGTCACCCCCATCCCAGTCCCCCCAAACCCCACCCCCCACCCTCACTGGCCCAGCCCCTTTCCCTCTTGGGGGCGCGGTTATGCAAACCAAGCCCCGGCGTTCCGCCAATGGTGAGTGAGCCCGGCGCCGTTATGCAAATATCCCGCCAGGATGGGCGGGGCTATGCAAATATCGCCGGCGCGGCTCGGGCGGGCAGCGCGCGCTGCGGGGACACGGGATCGGGACCGGGACCGGGATCGGGACTGGGATCGGGATCGGGACCGGGACCCGCACTGGAGGAGCCACCCCGGCTCCGCTGCAGCGCCGGGAACCCGAATCTGGAGCTGCCGAGGAGGACGAGCCGCTGTCCCGGTGCGTGTCCCCCGGCGGGGAGGAAAGGAGGGAGGGTCCCGCACTCCCGCGGGGGGTCCCGCACCCCCCGGGGCTCCGGTGTGGCCGGTCCCGAGGAGCTGGGGGACGCGACCCCCCCCAGCTCCGTCGCGCTGCTCCTGCAGGGCTCCCCGCACTGCCCCCGCATCCCCCCGGCCGCGCCGTCGGGGCGCACGGGCAGGGGGAGCGGGGCCGGCCCGGGGAGGGGCCGGTGCGGCCGGAGCGGCGCCCGGCGGGCTGGTCTGGGCACGGCGGAGCCCCGGCCCCCGCCCCGCCGTCTAGGGATGGAGGGCTATAAAAAGCCTGTGGTTTGCGCCGCGCTCGGGGCGGTTATTTTTACTCGTGTCTGTGCAGGGAGGAACGCCCGGGTTTAACCCAAAAGTGCAGCCTGGATGGCAGCCGCCCTGCCCGGACCCCGCCACCGCCTCCCGGGCACATCGGGGCCTTTGGGCCCTGGGGCTGAGCCCGCCGTGCAGAGGGGAAACTGAGGCACGGCCCCGCGGCGCTGGTGGCTCGACGTGCAGGGAGTGTGACAGTGACAGCGGTGACACCCCGGTGCGGGGTCAGGGCCTGGTG